ATCAAAAGGAACTTTTCTTGTGATAACTTAAATAAATATACAATTTTGTCAAGTTGAGTAAACATAAAAACCCAATCGAAATTTACAAAAATCCGGGTTTTGATCTCCCCAGATTTCCCTGAAAAGTTTTGGATATCTCCTGCTGCAGAAAGTACACGGGATATCCCATTGTGAATGATCCCTCGAGCATTGCTATGATTTTCAAGGACTACAGAACTGCTTTAAGTCTTAAGTGATTGCAGAGATCCAAAATAAATTAATTGTTTCGAAAATATTAAAAGGGATTTTTGAATTTTCAATGTTTCTGCAAAATTCAGGGTTTGCATGATATAAATCAAGTAATTTTTTTAAAAAGAATCAATGATTTAGATAATTTTTTGGAAATCTTAAACTTAAATATATTTGTCTATTTTGGTGAAATTGATTAAAGATTTATTACTAATAAGAAAATTTCGGACTGCAATCCCAATAATACCATCCTCAGTCGGTGTAGAGAGAATCTTTTCTACCTAAGTATAATGAATGCTATGCAATAATTATTTAAGCTAGGGGTCAACCACTATGCTTACAAATGTACAATGATTTCCATATTTGGCAATCACTCATCAATTAATCTCATGTATTCCCAGCCCAAGAATTGCGACTGACTGCCAATGATTTTCAGATATTTTTTCTGGGGATTTCTATGTTATTCCGAATTGATTACCTAATTTCCTCGATGATTTCCTATAATCATCCGATTTCCAGCTGATTTTCTTACGAAAACGATGTCTAATTGTTAAGCTTTGCATTGATATGTCCAAAATAAACAATCTTTTCTTTTATGCAAACACGTTCCTACTGAAAAATTGGCAACTTCTGTATTTGGAACTCTTCCAAAAGTTAGCAACTTTTATTTTCGTTCACTAACCCAAACTAACCCACACCGATTTTGTTGTAGGTATAAATATTTGTTGAGCCCTAGATACCATTGCGTGTCTACACTGCATATACATATTATGGATTTAAAATAATGGATATTTCTTTGATTTCACTAGGATGTTCATCTGGATAAAAGACATCTTCAGTTAGGGTTTTACCCGACAAACTTATTTCTGATTCTGATTCAGATGTAATATCGTCTCTGCTTCTCGCACTGCCTAATATTTATTTTACTTTCTGCTTTCCCTTTTCAAGTTCTCATTGCCTTGGATTCCAGACTTCCAGATTCCCAGAGCTCTTAATATTCGATCGACAAACGACCCTGCTTCTCTGAAAAGAACCAAATTAAGGTTGATCCCTGAATAATCTCTTAATTGTAGCGAATCGAAATTGCTACACCCTTATGTATAAATAAATTCTGTGTCTTCTTTTAGCAAGTCGGATTCGAGAGATGTTTCAAGATTCATGTGTTCATTTTTTTGCTCTACAACATTGTCATACTTTAGGTCTGTTCTCACAGAAATCACAAACCAGTTAGAGCGAATTTCATTGGTTGAAAATAGTCAGAAAACTGGTTGTTGATGATTTGCACCAATCAAAAACTTCTGACTGGTTTGTGATTTCTGTGAGAACAGACCTAATCTTCATCTTGTTTTTCTTCTTGTTCAAGTTCTAAACTCTTTGTAGTCTCGGGTTCAGTTATTGGCTCAGTTATTGGGAAACTTGTTAGGTCAAATTGTCTGGCACTCATGTTGCCTAAAACTTAGTCTTAAAGGCAATTACACAACTGACCGGTACGCTGTATCGTTTAAAATGTATGATTTGCGATTTTTGGGTTAGAATGAGATGATATTCCCAGCGATTAGCACATGATTCTCAGCGATTGCTAATGAATTCCTATGTTATTTCCATGAAGTCCTAGGAGATTCCTAGGTTATTCCCAGGGACTTCCAAGTGATTTCCATGTATTCCTGATTGATAATTATGTGATTCCCAGAAAATGTTCAATGATTTCCACTGGTGGTTTATAAATGTATTTTTTGGATTTTTATTTTAAAAAAATCATGATTTTTGTCAACCCTGCAAAATTATAAACACATTTCTAGAAATAATTGAGCTCGTAATTAAGGTAAGAAAAACACAGTTGATGTTGATGCGATAATGTATCCCAGTATCTTATTACAAAAATAAATCTCACAAAAATGTTGTGTGACGAAATTTAATACATATAATCTTATCTACTGATTTTGCTTATTAATCTATTATCAAACTTGGAACTTTTTTGCCTACAGTTTATTTGCAAATGTATCATTGATCATTGATTGCTCCTTGTTAGACCTGTTAATGGTGAAGGCTAGAGGGTATTGATATTGAAAATTGTATTTAGTCGTCCCATTACCTCACTTGGCTTTTCAGTGATTTGTACAAAATTTACCAAGCAACAACAGAAATTACCTATTAATAGATTTTAGTGCCCATACATAATGTAAAACTATATAAAATCCATCCATCTTAATCTTGAGAGCAATAATAATTTTAAAATAGATTTTCAATAGGTTCATACCTATTTCTCTGAGGCACTCTAGCAAGTTCCTTATTTTGTGACTGGATTATAGAATTTTATCATCTGTATTTTATGGTTTCAAATTAATGGAATATTTCATACTGTGTTACCTACCCAGCTATTTATAATTTAACTATAGGAGAATTCCTGTTGAAAATATAAATGTAGATGAATTAGGTATCTGTATTATTGTTACACCTTCCCATGTTAGAAATCCGCAGAAGAAATCTTGGCTTAGGCTTTTTATGTAAAATTGTAAATATGTAATTTAATTGTTTGTCCTCTGTTAGATAATATAAATCAATGTAAATATTCATGTATTTACCTGCAAGATATACTAGACAGAAAGGACTGTTCAATTATTTATATTGAGAATGTGCAGGGATGCCAAGAGAGGTAGATTTCTTTAATTTAAGGGTAGAAAATCAAAATACTTTTTGAAGATTTTGATTATGACACATGGGTATGATTGGTTGAGTGAAAGAATGGCCAAAAGGTTAAACTCAGCCAGTCAAGCCCTTCAGTGTGCATAATGATGTAATTGTGTGTATACTCTAAATATTTTTGCAATATGTATGCATGAAGATTTTTGAAATGTGACAATATCTCACTTCGAATGCTACAGCTCTGTATGCCCTATATTCTCGATCACCTAACCCATATTATTAACTGTTGTTTGGAGATGGGCTATTTTCCTGAATCCTGGCGCAAGTCAATCGTCTGTCCCATACCTAAAACACCGCATCCAAAATGTGTTCAGGAACTTCGCCCCATAAGTTTACTACCTGTGATTTCTAAGGTATTGGAGAGGGTTATTCATACTCAGTTATGCAGCTATCTTATTGAAAACCATATTTTGCCCGAACAACAGTCTGGGTTTAGGAGAAATCACAGTACAGCGACAGCTCTTCTAAATATCACAGATAATATAATACGTGCGATGGATAAAAAGCTTGCCGTTGTGTTAATAGCGTTGGATTACTCCAAGGCTTTTGACGTCATTGATCACGACCTGCTGTTGGCTAAGTTACATTACTATGGCTGTGATGAAATTAGTATGTCTCTTTTTATGTCTTACCTCTCGGAACGTGCTCAATGTGTTCGGGTCAACAATGAACAGTCTGATTACAAATCCATTATCTCAGGTGTGCCCCAGGGCTCAATACTTGGGCCGCTTTTATTTTTAATTTATACCTCCGATCTACCCAAAATAGTTAATCATTCTGACACTTTTCTATACGCCGATGATACTCAGATTGTCCACTGTTTTGGCCCTGATGATGTACGGCTGGCCTCGGAGTCGCTTACTGCTGATTTGCGGCAAATATCGCGTTATTCCAGAGAACATAATTTGCAAATAAATGCAAGTAAGACTAAAGCTGTTCTATTCGCGAACCGAAATCGGCGTGCTCAGGTTGCAGAATCTCTTGTACTAGAGTTAGATGGTGCAAATCTTACCTTTTCTAACGACCTTAGAAGTCTTGGTTTGAACATCGATACCTTTCTTAGATTTGGGGGGCATGTTGGTATGATTTTGCAGAAGTGCTACTTACGTATGCGTATGCTCTATGCAAACAAAAGTGTTTTAAATTATAAAACTAGGAAAAAACTTTGTGAATCACTTGTTTTGTCAATTATTGACTATTGCATGATTGTGTATTATCCTTGCTTAGATGGAGTTGCCAAGTGTCGTTTGCAGAGAGTACAGAATACATGCTGCCGTTTTATATGTAACTTAAGAAAATTCGACCATGTGTCGCAACATATTTATGACTTAAATTGGCTAAAGATCTTTGGTTTATTTAGACTGCAGTATCTGACTTTTTTGTATCGCTTACTTAAAACTCATCAGCCTAACTACCTTCACGAGAAATTGATTTTCAGAAACTTAATACATGATCGTCCTCTGAGATTTAATCTGCTTACGATTCCACACCACTCTACTGCCCTATTCGAACGATCTTTCACATATAACGCTGTAAGTCTTTACAATAAATATAAACCTGATTTATTGACTTTGTCTCTTAATTCATTAAGAAAAATGATAAAAACTATACTAATGGAAGCACAGGTTGCGTAGTGATGCTGGGATGTTTTTTGTTTTGATTCTTTTGTTTCATTTATTCATATTATTTTATTACTGTTTTGTTTCGATATTTATTTCCAATTTATATCTTTAAGCACTGGCATAGAATTTTCTCCTTCTCTTTTTTTTTTCCTTTTCTTGCATAAGATGTTAAATTAAATGTTATTTTATTTATATATTTGTTCTTATAATGTAAACTAAGAAGGTTAAGAGTTAAAGAATAGCTTAAAGCTAATCTTCGCCTTCTTGGGGCAAATTTTTGTAAAGAATTTCCTGAATAAAGACGATTTATTATTATTATTATTATTATAAATAAAGACGTTGAAACATAAAAAAAAAACATAGGTAAACACTGATAAAGGATGTTTATAATTAATAAGTTTTTATAAAAGTACACCCACTAAAAAAAACTTCTTGTTTCTATTCCAGCCAGCTAAAAATTTCATCATTTCACTGCCAAACTGTCACTTTTTGATTTAAATTCAACCACAGGAATGGTAATGGAGGCACCACCATCTCCCCAGAGCGTTGGACGGGAGTTCGTCAGACAATACTACACCCTGCTGAACAACGCGCCAGCCCACCTGCACCGATTCTACAATCATCAGTCGTCGTTCATTCACGGTGGGCTGGATCCCAACCGCGGGGAAACGATCCCTGTGATTGGCCAGAAGCAGATCCATCAGAAAATTCAGCAGCTCAATTTCAGAGATTGTCATGCCAAGATAACTCAAGTAGGAATTTTTGTTTTATTATTGTTATTTGTTTTATGTAAATTATATGTTTAGGTTGACTCCCAATCAACTTTGGGCGGTGGTGTTGTTGTCCAAGTTACTGGGGAATTGTCCAATGCAGGACAGCCAATGCGACGTTTTACTCAAACCTTCGTGCTTGCTTCTCAAAGTCCTAAGAAGTACTACGTGCACAATGATATTTTTCGTTATCAGGATGAAATAATTACTGATGAAGAATGCGATGGCGATATTCGCTCTGAAGTTGAAGAGGAATGTCTGGACAGGCCAACTTTGGTTGAACCGCAACCACCTCTTGGTCAACCAATCGCTCCTGCTCCAGGCTTACCTTTCTATGGTGGAGCAGTTGCTCCAGCAGGAGCAACTTTACCTCCTTTAACCGCTCAACCTGTTGCACCTCACATATTGCCACCACAGCCTCAACCTCAGATTACTCAACCACCTCAACCAACTGCTACTTTAAACGGACATCCTGACGAATTGGCTATGTTACAAGGACACCTCCCTCAATCAGTACAACAACCTCTTGGCGCTCCTATGTCGAACCTACAGCATCAACCTCCAATAGTCTCACCAATTGAAGAACCCCAAGAAATAGAAGAACCAATCGAAGAACCCATCGTTGATAATGAATACACTGACATTGCTGACAATGAAATCGAACAGGAACTGCTACAAGAACCAGCTTCAAATGAACCAAAAACGTACGCTAATCTGTTGAAAAACACTGCAGGCCAGGGTCAATCAATCTATCAGTCACAACAAACTACTAACACTTATAGAGCGCCCTCTCCTCCTTTGGGCAGTAAAGGGCCGGCTCATACGAATGGGGTTGGCAATAGAATGAGCGGGCCTAGGATGTCTGGAGGACCACCTTCTAGAGTTGGCGGACCTCCGTACCCTAGAGGACCTAGGACAGCTGAAGATGGCAAGTACCTTCATTATAAAACTAGTTTTTTTTTTTAAATTGTCCAAAACTCAGTAAAATTAATCTTCTGCAGAAAGTACAAAATCTATTATACATTAGTAAGGTGCTATTTATCATAAAATCGTTCTAGAAGTAAATTCTTTGGAGGGTTAAGTGTCACAAGCTAAATTATTATCAATTTTCTCAGATGACAGACGGCGTTCGCAATCGTCAAACTTTGGTCAATTGGACATCAACCAATTGTTCTTGGGTAATCTGCCTCACTCGGCCACCGAAGACGAACTTAGAGAAATCTTTGCCGAATTCGGACAAGTTTTGGAATTGAGGGTACACAGCAAACCCACCCCGGCAGGAATGAAACCCAACCAAGGAGGACGGATGCCGCCCAACTACGGATTCATCACTTACGATAGCCAACAGTCTGTACAAGCTTGTTTGGTGGCTAAAGTAAGAATTAATTTTTGTTTGTTTTAATAAATATTTATGTATTTTTCTATTTTTTAGCCCATCTACTATCCAAGGAACGATTCAAACGGTACAGTTTTGAATGTGGAAGAAAAGAAAAACAAAGATAGAGAAGGCGGCGGCAGGCAATCCTACGGCGGTGGCAGGCCCATGGATAATAACAGAACTGGTGGGCGAGGGGATGGGCCGAGACGTGGTGGTATGGGTCCTGGTGGTCCAAGACCGGGTGGTCCTCAAGGTCCTGGGGATAGAATCCGGACTGGCGATAGAGAAAACCGATACAATAGAGACAATAGGTGAGAATTGAAACGCTTGTCAATTCATTGTAACTTATTCTTCAATCCATTATGTTTACTATTAGAGTAGTGCTGAAAATTATACCAGAATATTTCACGTCTGGCAACCAATGCGCCCCTTTGGAATCAGATAATACATAGGTAGACGAGTCTAAAAAGCCCAGGGTACAATTTTTTCTGGCCCTCTAGCGGCGTTGATGACATAATCATTATTGCCGCCTAATTCCTGTGACACGATTCTACATTTCCCTATAAAACTTGAGTTTGTATTTTTATATTAACCTATATCATCAGTGGTTATTGATCAGGAGCAAACACGCTTTCCAACAGTATATTGCACATTATCATTTAGGTAAATGCCTAATACCAGAAATACTTGCAAATTTAATGGAATTGTTGATTTTGCTTTCGATTTTTTATGAAAAATACTTGACAGTGTATCGATTCCAAGTTATTGGAGGATTTTTTGGAAAACTCAAGTGTTTCGCCAAAGCTCCAACACACTGCTAATTACTCAGACTATGAGTTGTATTGCTCTGACATGGTCAGATTTACGCAATACGGTGGTTTTGCTCAGTAATATGACTTTACCCTGTAGTTTTATAGCTTCTCCGATAAGAGCTATAAAATCGGGACAAAAATATGGAAGGACACGATTTGTTAAGATTAGAGCTCTTATTTCAGTGGTGCTAAAATTGGCACATGATTTACAATAAACGTTCCTGCAGTTGACACAGGGGTGACCAAAAATTTCATCCTCTTCCTTTTTTGGTTTTCGAAAAACACAGGAAATTTTACAGGTTATGCATTTTCCTCCTGACCCTGACATGTTCTTGAAATGATAAGCACAAACTTGTCTTGTGCCATCTTTGGATCATAAGGGATTGAGTCCTTGAGTGGTTGGAACGTATACCATTTCAGTAACCTAAAAGAAGGGCCTGGTGTTGTTGGATTTAGCTAGTTGCTGCATTTCGTTTGATTTTGTTATCCACCATTGGTTTTTCAATGCTTATGTTTGCCTTTTCGCTTTTGCTTGTCGGTAGTATTGCCTTTTTTTTACAGCCGAATTGGGGTTGCTTCTCCATACATTATTCGCTTTGCTGTTTCTTTCTACAAGTTCTTGAATTTCAGTGTCGTTGTCATCAAATCATCATTGACGTGTCTTTTGTATGTGTAATACTACACTGTATTGGCAGATTTTTAGCAACTTTTGGTTAGAAGTTATGTATACCGTTCGGAAGTTTTTTTTTTTTATGCACAGAAAAGTAGACGACACATCTTCAGCTGTATATAACGGATTCCAAGTTATTTAGCATAATGTTTCGTAAAAATTAAAATAAAAATCAACAATTTTAATAAAGTTGCAAGAATTTATGGTATGATGTATGTATGTGATGATGTGCAATATACTATTAGAAAGCGTGACTCCTCCTGACTAAGTAAGCAAAGGGTAGCTGTGCACAGTACAGGTACAGAAAAAACTAATTATTCCAGGAAGATCCAGGGAAGTTTTACAGATCACTGACCTAGCCGAAAGAGGGAGGTGAGAACTTTCCACCCCCTGAAATACAAACCATGCCAAAATTCTGGGAGAACATATGGTCCATACCTGAATACCACCAACAGGATGCGTATTGGATTCAGGAAGAAACTGATAAAAACGGACAAAAACCAGCTATGGAAAACTTTAGAATTGACGTTGCTGATATCAAGAAAACCGTTAAAAACTGTACGAATTGGAAATGCCTTGGACCAGAAAAAATACAAAATATTGGTGGAAATACTTCACCACTGTGCACGAAACGATAACATCCCAATTTCAGGCCAAAATCGAGAATCCAACCCTCATGCCGCAATTTCTCATAGAGGGCATCACAACCATGCTACTGAAAAGGAGATTTGTGAAACCCTAAAAATTACCGCCCAATAACTTGCTTGCCCACGTTGTATAAAATCCTAACATCAGTGATTGCACAAAAAATTGAGAAACATGTAACTGAGAACCAGATTCTTGCATCAGAACAACTGGGATGTGAAAAGAAATCTAAAGGCACAAAGAGCTGCTTATAATCGACTCAATTATAACCAACCAAGCAAGAATGAAGCAAAAAAACCTCTCGGTAGCTTGGGTTGATTACAAAAAAGCGTTCGACTCCGTGTCGCACAGCTGGTTAATAAAAGTGCTTGAAATCTACAAAATATACCCATCGGTTGTCAATCTACTGAAATACCTAATGCAAAAGTGGAGAACGAGGCTTGGAGTCCAGGTACAGAAACAACAGTATCCCACTCAATATTTGCAAGTTGCTTATTGCTTATGATTTAGATTTTGGAAAACTTTGCAAGGTCATAACTTTTTTTCTATTATAGATAGAAACCTGAAACTTCCACTGAGTTTTATCCCAATTAAGGGACTACAATCCCTGAAACTTTCAGCTCATTTATTTGCACTTATAGTTCCTGAGATAAAATCGTGTTAAGCAATTTGGGGTGATTTATTAATTTTTCAAGTTTTTTGAATGCCTTTTTTCATAGATTTCGGCTTCAAATCTGAGAATAATTTAGTGTATGGAGTTTGGGGTATGTTGATTGACCATTAGGATATAAAATGTTGACAAAATTTTTTTTTTGAAATTTCATCGATTTAGTAAGAAGGTGATTATGATTTAGATTTTGGAAAACTTTGGAAGGTCATAACTTTTTTTCTATTATAGATAGAAAGCTGAAACTTTCACTGAATTTCATCTCAATGAAGGGACTACAATCCCTGAAAAGTTCAGCTCATTTGCACTTATAGTTCTTGAGGTGAAATCGTGTTAAGCAATTAGGGGTGTTTTATAAATTTGAAACTTTCACTGAATTTTATGAGAGTCTGAGCCCCTTGTGGTTTTGTCTCGCTCTCAACTCACTGAGTTCACTGAAACCCATATGGCTATAAAATAGATGGACCGCGAGGTCAAAAACTGACTCATGGATTCTATATGGACGATTTCAAGTGTTAAGCAGCTAACGGTGAGCAGCTTCATAATCAACTTGAAATTGTGTCAAATTTCAGCAAGACCATAAAGATGAAATTTGGACTGAACAAACCGGAAGCGGGAGATACTCCTAAGCTCATGGACGGTACCGAGATTAGGCACCTATCAACAGATGAAACTTACAAGTATCTGGGTTTCCAGCAAGCGCTGAACATAAAAACATCAAACATGAAGGAAAACATCATACAATACAGCAGCTAAAGAAAAGAATACAGCTCTTACTAAAAACTAATTTGAATGCAAAAAGCACCTTCACTGCGATCACACCTGGGCTATACTGGTAGTGTTCACTTTTGGAGTCCTCAACTGGTCTGATACTAATCTGAAAAAAATAGACCGATTAGTCTGAAGTCTACTTACCTCGTACCCTAGTCACGACCCCATATCTTCTACTGCTAGGTTGTACATCTCCAGGACGAATGGTGGACGCGGGCTCTGTTCTCTGAAGACGAGTCACCAGAAACAAAAAGAAAACTTGATAGAATATTTCTGAAACTGCAACTTACCTGTCCACGCCGCAATCATTCGTGTCAACAAAAACTTCAGCCTACTCAATTTAGCACATGCAGCGGAACCCCAGATAATAAACCATGAGAAAGAGATGATACAAGAATGGCTATCAAAAGAAGTACACGGCAGATTTGCAGCAGCTCTACATAGTAACGAGATCGACAAAGAAGCCTCGTGCCTCTATCTTCAAAAGGCTTGGCCTAATCGAGAAACTGAAGGGGCAATAAATGCGGTACATGACCAGGTTGTAGCGACAAGGTACTATGTACGCCACGTGATGAAACAAGCCATTGCAACAGACTTGTGTAGAGTATGCAACCTGAAGCCTGAAACAATACAACATATTACCACCGCATGTAGTATAATTGCCCAAAATAGTATTTGAACAGGCATAATGATGTCGCAAAAATCGTACATAGTCATCTTTGTCACAAGAACCATCTCATCAAGGGGATTCCTCCATATTACAAGTAGAACCCTAGCTCTGTCATCGAAAATGAAACAACAAAAATCTACTGGGACACGCTGATCTTAACTGATAAGCAAATCCTTCACAATAAGCCAGACATTCTTTACATAAACAAAACAGGGAATTATGCATTTATGACTTTGCAGTACCAGCAGACAGCAACATAGTAAACTCCTACACAGATTTGTTATACGAATTAAAAAAAATCTACGATCTCAAGAAAATCGAAGTCTTGCCGTTCATAATTTCTGCCACAGGTTTTACTAATTATATAGGTTGATATTAGAATACAAACTCGAATTATATAGGGAAAATGTCGAATCATGGAGGGGTCATCAACGCCACTAGAGGGTCAAAAAAAATTTGTGTCCCAGGCATTTTGGACTCGCCTACCCATGTACTATCTGAACCCAAAGAAGCGCAGTGGTTGCCAGATCTGAAACTCTTCTTACCTATATCACCGCATTATATTCACTTATTCATAGTTTTTTTTTTGAAGGTTTTAACCTCTTTTCTTCTTTTTTTTTCAGAAGTGGTGGAGGTCCACCATCCAACCGCGGAGGACCAAACAATTACGGTCGGCGTTAGCCTTGGCTGGAAAGTTCAATCCCGTTTCCCTACTTGTCCTCCCACATTCAGTTAAATCCTATCCCTTTTGTCAGCCATGTGCTTCGAACCGCGCCCAAAGCAATATAGGGACATAGTATTCTTATTATTATTTTCTCATACTTTCTTATTTTGTCGGGAATTTAATTTTTCCTATTTTACTTAGGCGTAACACACATACGGAAAAAAATTTTGGAGGTATTTACTCCACTACTCTTTTTTATACTCATTTTTTATGCATCCAAGCCGCAGGTTAATCAGGTTGTGTTGCGTATTATTTTTTTAAATAATAATTTTTCAATCCTGCATGTCTTGGAATTTTTTAATATAGGGCACCTAATACCTTATGACAATACATACAAATTCTATATTGTGATAAAATACATAACATACTTCTACTTCATTTAAGGTAGATTATGTATTATTATTTTTTATTTTAATACACATGTTAATAGGTTAAATTTTCAAAAAAAAAAGTAAATACCTCAAATTTTTTTTTGGCTCTACTCAAACGCCTGTATATTTTTATATAATTATAAATAAAAATAAAATATAATTGTGGCATTTTTATTAACAGAATTGATACAAGGAAAAAGTAAATTTGTGCCAATTTTGCGATGAAAAAAATTAGCAAAGAAAGTATACTACCCACCCGACTCTTGTGACTGCGATTGATTGAAAATCAATGGAAAAGTTGAAAGTACATTTTTGTTTGTTTTTACTAGTTTTTCTAGAAAGGAAACTAGCAACATTGAATATAATTGTTTTTGGTTTTTTTAAATAAACACTGCCAAAACAAAATATTTTGGATTAATTTGAGCTAAGTACCTGTTTGAAAATAATTGATATTAATTCAATTTTAAGCTTTGATTATTCATTGTTGCTAATTTCTTGAGCATATTTTGTTTGGTCTCATTTTCTTAGAAATATTAAGCATTGAAATAGACTGGTACCTTATAAAACACAATGTGCATAAAAATATTGGGCTAATTATTTAATAAAACGTTTTTTTTTTAAATATAATTGTTGGTTTTCTTTATTTTTTTTTCCCAAAAGTTGCTGTCATTTTAATGTGAGACCAATCAGAAATGCCTAAAAAAAATGTAATTTGACTGGATATTTTAGGCCTTTAGCAAAAAAAAAATAAAATCGTTAGAATATATAAATAAATAAATAAATACCTAATAAAATAATTTTAATTTAAGTTTTGTTTTCTCCTATATTATCAATTGAATATTAAATTTGATAATTCGTGTTTATTTAGTATGTTCAGGTAGTTGATCTTTTGAATATTTGAAATAATTATAGGGAAAAAATGTAAAAAATAATATTTTCTAGGGAAATTAATACATAATAATTATTATAATGGGTTTTTTTCATTTAAAAGATCGACTATATCCTGAATATCAATAATTAATTAATTCTCTTTTTGATTATTTTGTATTTTTTTTTTCATTATTGTGTATTTAATTTTTTTTAATCTGTGATTTTTAACTGCAGTTTGTGTTAGCTTGTACTTAGCAATTTATCTAAATAAATTGATAGTTTTTTTAGGAAATGGAAGATGTTTCATTTCACCTAGATAGTGTACCAAATTGTTCAGAATTTAAAAAAAAAACCTTCAGCATGGTTTACATAGGATACATAGTAAATTGCGATAGAACTTCCCACAGTAACTTGCGCGAGCGTTTACCATTTAGTGTTTTGTATGAAAAATTAGTGCGGAAAAAATGTCTAAAAAAAGAATATAAGTTAAAGAATGGATAGCCAGAAGGCCTACTCTTAGTGCTCACGCGATGTTATTATTTAGATGAATTGAGAAGTGAAGATCCAAATAAATTAAAAAGTTTCCTACGTATGTTAGAAACCGACTTCAACTTTTTGATACAATTAATCTCAGATAAAATATCAAAATCTGATACAAATATGCGTGAATCGATCAAACCAAGAGAACGATTGGCCCTATCCCTGTACATTTTTGATTTTATTTGCCATAAATCTGGATACACTGCAAAAATACTTATTGAAGCAAATGTATCTTCTTTTGACCACACACGTTTAGTGCAGTTTTAGGACACATTTGGTGGTTTTTAAAGTACCTAACTCAGAATTTTAGATGTTTTTGAAATGGCTTCAGATCTGTTTGAATCCAAACGATTCTTCCAAATAATGTTTCAGATTTTTCAAAAATAAATATTCTCTTCAGAGAAGCCTATTTCTACAGCCGAAAACCAAAATCCTTATCAGTATTTTTCCCAAGCCATAATTCATAAACTCGAAGGGTGGACAATAGAGAAAGGAATGCGGCCATCCCTTCCCAAGAGTTAAGTTGAAGAAAATCTTAAAAGATATATTTATGTGTTTTCAATATTCCAATATTCCCCAAGAAGTCTGGGTGGTCAGGGCCGTACTAAGCAATACTATGACTTTATTGAAATATTTTTACTTGCACAAAATTCAAATATGTAATTGTTTTTTTAATCAAATATTTTTTTATAATTTTAGGTTCTGTGTTATGTTTTAAGCGGGAGAATTCACACAATTAATGGGTTTTCTAAATTAATTTTTTTAATTTATAGGCAATTTCCTAATATTATGTGAATGTTTGATAAAAAAAATCATTGTTTTTCTATTACAGGCTTTTGAGTCTTCTCTAGACTTCAGAATGGTATTTAGCTGGAATCGCTAGCGTTTATGGTTTTTGAGAAAATCGAGTTTGAAGTTTTACACAAAATGTCGACCAAATTTCAACTTTCAAGCTCAAAATCTTGGAAACCCCAAAAGTTACGAAAACCATTTTTAGACAGCCTCATAGAGAATTTAATACTCTTTCTAGAGATATATAGTTATTATCAATTTGCTCAAAAATAATGGAAGATATAGGCAATTATTCATGAGCGTGTCAAGATATCTACAGCCAAAAATAAGAACAATGAGATTTCCATTTAGATTATTTCTCTCATCGAAATTTCCAAATGTAATTGATGTTGTTTCTGACTAATTTGGACTCGCTCTAGCGACCAAAAGGGTTAGGTACTGGAACAAAATTTTCAGTAATTGTAGCTCTTGAGGAGGGCTTTCAGATGGTATTCAGCTGAAATTGCTAGCATTTAGCGTTTTTGAGAAAATCGAATTTAAAGTTTAGGAGAAAATTTTAAGCAAATTTCCACTTTGAGGCTCAATATCTTGGAATCAACGCCACTAGAGGGTCAAAAAAATGTGTGTCCTGGGCGTTTTGGACTCGCCTATGTAATATCTGAACCCAAAAGGACGCAGTGGTTGCCAGATTTCAAACTTTTGTTACCTATATTATTCCACTATATTCACTTATCCATAGTTTTTTTTAAGGTTTTTCAAATTTCCACTTTGAGGCTCAATATCTTGGAAACTTTACAATCTATTAAAACCAAATTTGCACGGGCTCATAGAGAATTTGATGGTCTTTTGAGTGATACATAGTTATTATTAATTTGCTTAAAAATAATCGTAGATACAAGCAATTATTCATGAGCATGTCAAGATTTCAAAAAATGTCCAGAGCCAAAAATGAGATTTCCTTTTGGATTTTTGCTCTGATTGAAATTTTCAAATGTAATTGATGTTAGAGTTATTTCTGACTAATTTGGACTTGCTCTTTCGATTTATAAGGTCAAAATCTTGAAAAATCCAAAAATAGAAATTATCCATTTTTTGCACTTTCTTCATCCAAGAGTACCTACCCCTTTGGATTTTTATTTGGAAATCTTGAATATTAAATATCTCGTTAACCAAAAGCGGTAGGTACTGGAACAAAATTTTCAGGAATTGGCTCTTGAAAAGAGTTTTCAGATGGTATTTATCTGAAATCGCTAACATGATATTTTGAGAAAATCGAATTTAAAGTTTTGGAGAAAATTTCAACCAAATTTCCACTTTGAGGCTCAATATCTTGGAAACTTTACGATCTACAAAAACCAATTTTGCACGAGCTTATAGAGAATTTAATGCTCTTTTCAATGATATGTAACTATCATTAATTAACTCAAAAATAATTGAAGATATAAACAATTATTATTCATGATCATGTCAAGATTTCAAAAAATGTCAAGAGCCAAAAATGAGTTTTCCTTTTGGATTTTTTCTCTCATTGAAATTTCCAAGCATAATTGATGTTAGAGTTGTTCTTGACTAATTTGGACTCGCTCTATCAATTTCTAAGGTCAAAATTAAGAAAAATCCAAAAATAGAAAATTTCATTTTTTTGTACTTTTCTTTTGGATTTTTATTTGGAAATCTCGAATCTTAAATATGTTGGTAACCAAAAGCAGTTCTGGAACAGAAATTGTAGCCCTTGATAAGGGCTCCAAGATGGTATTCAGTTGAAATTTCTAGCATTTACGGTTTTTGAGAAAATTGAGTTTTGGACAAAATGTAGACTAGACTAAATTTCAACTTTGAAGCTCAATATCTCTAAAACTCTATAGGCTACAAAACCAGTTTTGCACAGGTCTTATAGAGAATTTATTGCACTTTTTAATGACAATAATTTGATCAAAAATAATCGAAAAACAATAATTGAGAAACCTCAGATTTATTTTTGAACAAACAGGAATCAATTTAGAACTGGAAACCTTTTAGAACTCTATTCAACCAATTTAGAACATTTGGGCTCCAAAATACTTAAAAATCTGTCAGAACAATTAAGAAGTTACCGAAAAACTTCTAAAATGCTCCAGAACTCTTCAAGCCAAGTTTAGAACACTTTAGAACTCCAATACCTAAGCCATTTATTAGAACACTTTCCAGCGATATTTTGAACAATTTGAAAACCTCGGAATTATTCCAGAGAGCCTAGCGCCTGGAATAGACAAAAATTGAAGGTTATTTATCAAGGTCTATTATTGCAAAACCGTCTCAAGAACGGTTTCGAAGCCACTTTGTATACGATTTTCGGATTCTAGGCATTGTTGTTCAAAGGGCACAATTGTGCCAAAAGTGGCACTTTTCACCCGCAAAATGCACGGTGGCACCACTTTGAAAAATTTGGCACGATTCACATTTATTAGATATTATCCTTTTTCAAGATGAGAAAGACTGGACCTGGAGCAGGATTTTTCGTTTATTTGTATTCTATTATATTTTTTGTTCATTTTATTTCTGTGCTAGTGACCTCAGATTCCTCAGACCTACCTGCCTGTGAGAATTGTGGTCGATCTGTCGGTCTTGGGATCTGTCGATGTGAATATTCTCCTTGGATGTGAGTAAAGTTAATGGCGTTTCCGATTGGTAGATTTAGTGCGGAACTAGTGCAATTTTTTCTATTTCTGTCTTTTTCTTCTACAGGTCGATTAAAAGGACGCAAATACACTCAGTGCGCACTGAATCTACCAATCGGAAACGCCATAAGACTAGTGATAGTGACGTGACTGTCAATTCTCATTATAGTGGATTTAATATTAAATCCACTATAATGAGAATTGACATATATATATATGAAATATATTATATCTTTCTCCTTTTAGTCATTTAATAAAAAAAATGGGTAGAAAGTCAATTTATTAAGTATAAGTGGCACTATTTGGCACTATTTGAGTGCTGCTGCACTCTGCTGCAGGCACATACGAAAATTCCCCAAGAACAACCCTGATTCTAGGCTTTGCCCAAAATCTTGACGCTACTTAGTACAGTTTTCTGCTTTGTTGAAACAAAGCTAAAATAAACTTTAATAATAAATAAAATTTAACACTTATACGGCCCTGTATAGCTAAAAACAGGGGATTTACACTTGCCATCGGGTACTACTCTACTACGTAGTTAGTTTTTTTGCCTATCTCATTTTCTCATATTTATATAACCTTATCAGTTTACTTTTTTTTAGAGTTGTTTATATTCGGATTTCTTTATCGAATAAGACAAAGGGATTTAGGATATATCGACTACCGATAGCCGATAGAGAAAGTACAGACAGCCGCGGCTGGGTATTATCGATTTTTCTCACACAAGTTAAGATTTTTCGGCCGCTATTTTTTGAATGAACAACTTTTGATTTTTCTGATAAAATTTTCAAATTTTGAGTCTAGAACAATCCAGAACTTTCTTATCTAATGTTTTTTTTTTATTTTTAAATAGTTATTGGGCAATTAGTAAATTTTATAGAAAGTCCAGAACTTTCAATGTCAGGGAGAGAAGTTTTCCACAAAATCTCACGCACCTATTTTCATCATTAATTTTTATTTTGACTTGGTTTTCTAAAAGTGCGTTAAAAAAGGAGAAAGTATGAATGAATTCTGTGTGAGAGATGAATGATCCAGGAAAATTCTGGATGTAGGTACTGCTGTAAGAGAATGGTACCTACTGTTTGAAAAGAATGGTATGCTGGATGTAGGTACTGTTATTAATAGAAGGCTGGAGACTTCCAAAAAAATAGGTTTTTGTCCAGTTTTCAATTGAATGAGTGTTTCAACCACTTTAAATCCGCATAGCTACAAATGTTAGCTACTCTCACTGGAAATCATCCAAAGTTTGTGTAATGCTCCAATGTCTTATAAATGTCTCAAAATAAATCCCAATTATCGCAAATTTCAAGCCACTACCACTAGCAACAACCCATCAACTAACCTAACACAACTAACTCAATTTAAATTAACATTAATCTGAACTTTGGGTAATTTCTAATGGCAGTTCACTAATATTTTAAGCTATTTCCAAAAGAAATGCAATATGAAGGTGCATATTATTATAGAAAAATACTCTTCAACTGATTGCTAGAGAGATATGTAGCTATCCAGTTGTACCTATATTCTTCAAAAAGGCAATTTGAAAGTATTCAATTTTTTTGAGACACTTTATGGAGGTGTTGGGTGCACTCTTGGAAAGCCAGCCATTAAAGGATTTATGAGAATTTGGTCAATAGTTGATTAGTATAGTAGGCCTGATATATAGTCCAGGAGCCAAGTTAATTATCTGGAAAAATCTAGACACTTTGGATCACGAGCTGAAACTTTGTGTTCTTTATGTTTAAGTATATGAGCATTTTCTTTACATTCATTAACAAAAACATATAACTTATTAGAACTGGACTTTATTAATTTTTCAAATGCCTGGGAATATGCCTCAGGTTTTCATGTACCTAAACAACCACTATAAGTAAATTGAACTTCTGTTGATGTTGAGGTATTATAGATAACTTTGAATTATTTGATGTTTTTTTTAATGTTATTAGCACATTTTAATTGATTTGAGTCATCAAACTACAAATCCGCGAACAATTTTACCGCCGTTGCGTTATTTATTTTTAGGTGAGCCCCCCTGTAAGCAACCAAAGCCTAGAAGAGTCACCTGAGCCTAATCAATTATCACTTCTGGTGAAAATTGCTAGACAGATTTTTGAGAAGTACATATTCATTTTGAAATTTTAATTTGATGAACTCCTAACTTCCCTTTTTCTCTCCTGAAAATTTCATAATTTTCCCTTCAGTAGTTTTCCAGAAAAAAGTCAAAGTGCAGCAAAACCTGCTCATGCTTTTAAATCTTTATGCAACTTTTTTGGCTGATTGTCGTATTTTCTTTTATAGCTGCAGATAGAGCTGAACCATTTAGTTTTAGTACCCACTTAAAGAGCCCATATAGTAGATTCCCTGTTCCAATCTTTACACTCTCCTAATTTTTAGTAGCAGGGTCAAGAATCACCACCATGATGCCGTTACATACAAAAATACTCAAGCCTCATTCAAGAAATCCTTACATAATGCCTCATAATAAATCCTCCCAAATAGTATTCAGGTCATTTACAAGTAAAATTCTTGAACCATATATGCAATGCAATAATCGAAGCATCTGGTTTTGTCAAATGACATCTTTATTAATCGACTTTATCAAAATCTCTTTTGCAAGGCTCTTCCAGCTAAAAATAGCTTGTGTTAAAAGTTGGCATCGTTGCGCAGCTTTTTAAGATAAAGTTCATAAATCGGCGCTTTCAATTCGGCCACAAGCGACTGAGTCAGTACCAGTACGACTTGGCTTGGATGGCCGGTACAGTGCAATAGTGAAATCAACAGGTCCTTCAAGAACAAATAGTCGTAAGTAACTTTTCGTGTGGAAGGAAATTATATTTTGTTTTATTGTTGGCATTTTTTATTGAGAATAGAGCTTTATTTAATGCTCGGAAAATTGAGCTTTTACTGTAAAAACGCCTTATTTATGATGATGGAAGTAAAACTTTTAAAGCCAAAAATCTTGTTGATTCTACCCTTTGAATCTAATCTAATAACATTTTGTTCTATAAATATATAAAAAAATTTCGTTCAATTCACAAATCAAACTATAAACTGTCTCATATCATTTAGGTTAAAGCTTCCAGAATCCTTAATGTTTAGACAGATGTTCCACAAGGTTTAAACCAGAAGCTTAAAATCAAGGTTGTCGATATAATGTGCCGCACTTGAATAAAATGCATTTAAAAATCTATTTATGAAGCTGTGGATAATTACTATTATAGGTTTATGAATTTTGTGTAATAACACTTTGAAAAGTCATTGGATTTCTCGTTAATTTATTTTGAGAAATTTTATGGCAAAGTAAAATAGCCAAATGTATTATATTACGAAAAGCGATTTTCTCGTTCATGACATCATTTCTGGTTGAATAATGTTTTTCCAAGATTTGAAATGAAAATGAGGTCAAAAAAAGCACAAAACAATTTAAATTTAATTGCATCCTTGCACACGAGCTTCAAATAATTCGCCAAACGATTACTCTTATCGAAATTTTACATTTCCTGCGGATGAGAAACTTGGCCATTTTTGATAAAGAATCGCCCCAGAGCTTTTCCTGTGTGTATGAAATATTGAATTGTGAAATGTTTTTTGAGGTTTGACATACTTATTACATCAAACTATAACACAAATTTATTTTGATAACCTCAGAGAGGTCTCATTTTTGGTTGATAATGTACGACAAAATAAATTTTGCTTATTGATGATTTTTATACAAAATGAAGATAAATATGAGACCAGCTGAGGAATATACTTTTTCCAAGTAGGTATACTTATCATGAGCTCATGAGTGTAGGTATTGTTGGAAAACTAAACATGGCAAGAGAAAAATTTCAGATAACCCACCTATAGTGGATTTGCATGATTGTTATGTTGCTGCTATTAACTACTTAGTAGGTACCTTCTAATCCAAAAATGTTTGAAATTTGATATATTTTATTAGGTGAATCATTGAATAATAAGTTCGTTTAACCACATTCCTTGATAATACAAAAAACATCTCAGAAAAATTTGAAAGAGAGATGCTCATCAGAATATTTCCATCAAAATCTTGTGACATTCCTAGAATATTCCAGGCAAAGATTTTTCATCAAAATGGATGATCTAATAAAACATTTTTGGAATATTTTTTTCATAGATACCACCTACCTATCAAAGATATTATTGCGGTTTAAAAATATTGAAATAAAAATTCAATGGGTAGCAACAGGTATATGTATACCCCCTACTCAATTTTCACTTTTCCAATTAACAAAGCAGGTCCAAATTAGTCAAAACAGGCTCAAACTTCCTTTCCAAATTACAGTTTCAACATGGAAACAAAAATTAAAAAGACAATTTCATAACAAGATCCATAATAATCTCTGAGAAGGGTTATCAAGCATTTTCAATTGAATTTTTGATAACTTTGAAAAAACATAATATCTCCAATTCTATTATAGACATAAAGCTGAAAATTTCAGTAGGTAAATCTTATCCTAGAGTAGGACCGTGACCCCTGAAAATTTCAGCTCATTTGGACTTATAGTTCATCCAGAAATAAAATCGCGTTAAGCAATTTGGGGTGAATCTATCAATTTTTCAATTTTCTGAGTGTCTTTTTTCATAAATTTCGACTTCATATCTGGGAATAATTTAGTGTATGGAGTTTGGGGGATCCCAAAGGACCAATCAGATACAAAATCTCACCAAAAAAACATTTGAAATTTCATCGTTTTAGTACTGAGGTAGCTACCTTATGATTTAGATTTTGGTCATAACTTTTTTCTATCAAAGATAGAAAGCGGAAATTTTCAGCGATTCTCATCCCAGTAGAGGACTACAATCCCTGAAAATTTCAGCACATTTGAACTTATGGGGTTCTAGAAATAAAATGGTGTTAAGCAATTTGGAGTAATTTATCAGTTTTTCAATTTTTCTGAGTGCCTTTTTCCATAGATTCTGGCAGGTAGCTACCTTATGATTTAGATTTTGAAAAACTTTGAAAGGTCATAACCCAACAACTTTTGAAAAATCTTGATTTTTAAACGCAAATGATGAACCGATTTGGCGTAAACCTTTTACAACATTATATAGGTACTCGAAATGTCCACCATTTTGGGAAAAAACATTTTCTTGATCTTCTAAGGTTGTTCTCTGCTACCCTATTTAAAATCTCTGGATAATCATTCCAAAGGCATTTAAAATTCACTGTTCCAAGACTCGAATACTGGAGTGACGTAGACAATAGCTTTAATGTATCCCCGCAGAAAAAAAGTCTATATGAGTTAAATCTGGAGGCCACCTGACAGGTCCATTATTGTTCGCCAAAAATTTCCTGTAAATGTTGCGAAACACCCATTGTATTTTAAAAGGCTCTGCACCGTCTTGTTGAAAGTAAATCGAACTAAGTAACTGAAGGGGAAGATTGTCCAAATCATTCTAAATATTTGATTGATTCATAAGGAATCGCGAATACCTAACTCCTGTGAGACTTTCTTGAAATAAAATTGGTCCAAAAATTCGATTTCCCAAAATCTTCTCCCAAACATTAACACCAAATCTCTTCTGAAACCGACCAGGTCTTATACAATTTATCGATTATTTTGAGACCATTGCAATAATACCGTGAATTTTGCCGGTAGAACATTGCATTATGTAAAAGCAGAATTTATCAGTGAACAAAATTGACTTCACAAAATTGTTATCGTAATTATTCCTATCAAGAAGCCATGTGTAAAATGATCTGCTGATGCTAGAAAACTTAAAAAATACCGAGTGACTGGTAACGCAAATTACATCTAAAAAATTAAAAAAGTTGCCTCGTTTAAACTTATACATTAAAAATATGTTGTTTCCTATTCCTTGTGTCACCCTGTAGATAGAAAGCTGAAATTTTGAGCGATTCTTATATCCCAGTAGGGAACTAAAATCCCTGAAGATTTCAGCTCGTTTGGACTTATAGTTTCAGAAATAAAATCGTGTTAAGCAATTTGGGGTGAGTTTATCAATTTTTCAATTTTCTGAGTGCACTTTTTCATAGGTTTCGGCTTCATATCTGGGAATAATTTAGTGTATGGAGTTTGGGGGATCCCAAAGGACCATTGAGACACAAAATCTCAACAACAAAAAAATTGAATCTTTTTTGTTTTAGTACTGAGGTAGCTACCTTATGATTTAGATTTTGGAAAACTTTGAAAGGTTATAACTTTTTTTCTATTATAGATAGAAAGTTGAAATTTTCAGCGTTTCTTATCCTAGTAGAGGAGTACAATCCCTGAAAATTTCAACTCATTTGCACTTATAATTCCAGAAATAAAATCGCGTTAAGCAATTTGGGGTGAATTTATCAATTTTTCAATTTTCTGAGTGCCCTTTTTCTAGGTTTCGGCTTCATATCTGGGAATAATTTAGTGTATGGAGTTTGGGGGATCCCAAAGGACCATTAAGACACAAAATCTCAACAAAAAAAACTTTGAAATTTCATCACTTTAGTACCTACTGAGTGATTTAGATTTTGGAAAACTTTGAAAGGCCATAACTTTTTTTCTATTGAAGATGGAAAGCTGAAATTTTCAGCGATTCTTATACCAGTAGGAAATTACAATCCCTGAAAATTTCAGCCCATTTGGACTTATAGTTCCAGAAATAAAATTGTGTTAAGCAATTTGGGGTACATTATCGATTTTTCAATTTTTCTGAGTGCTTTTTTTCATAGATACCGGCTCCAAATCTCAGAATAATTTAGTGTATGAAGTTTGGGGGATCCCAAAGAACTATTGAGACACAAAATCTCAACAAAAAAATGTTTGAAATTTCATCGTTTTAGCACTGAGGAAGCTACGTACCCTATGATTTAGATTTTGGAAAACTTTGAAAGGTCATATTTTTTTTTCTATTATAGATAGAAAGCTGAAATTTTCAACGATTCTTACTACAGTAGAAGACAACAATCCCTGAAAATTTCAGCTCATTCGGAGTTATAGTTCCAGAAATAAACGAGAAAATCCGAAGCTTCTTATCTTGAACATTATATGAATTCTAATAATCTGAGAAGAACTACAGAATCTCAAATTCTTTACCATCCGAGACGAGCTACACTACAAAACTTTCAAATTCAAGATCCACAATGAAAGAATCTCACTTTCTGAGCCTTACGAAAACAAAAATAAAATTCTGCAAAGAAATATGAGCAAGATCAGAATCTGAAGCTTGAACACTGCATCTCTATAATCTGAAAAGCTGAGGTTGGATCTGAGAAATGAGACTCTGGCAAATGTATGCAAATGATAGAATCTAAAGCTTTTTTTGTCTCAAGACTGTATCTTTACAATCTGGGACGTACCTCAGGAATTCCAAATTCTAAGTTTCTCAATGAAAGTATCTGCACCTGAGAACAAGAATAATTTTTTTTTAGCTCTAAGAAAATATGTATGAGCAAGTTATAGAATCTGAAGTTTGAACGCTGTACCTATCATGATCAGAATTGTACTTTAAAATCTTCAAATGTGAGATTTACAATGACGTTGTTTTAGATCTCCAGAATAGACCTTAATAGTAGAATCTGAAGTTTTCTCAGAGCCTCAAAAAAATTTCTAATTTTTAAGTTTACAATGGAAGAATTTTACGTTCTGGACCAGAAAAAAGGAATAGAATTGTGTACTTGAGAAATCTGAGCAAATTAAAGAATTTGAAGCTTGGAGACGTTGTTACGGATCTGAGAAATGAATATAAAATTAGGAATCTTGGAAATTTTCCCAAATCAGAGAATCTCAAACTTTTGCTTGATTGAAGAATAATAATTTTATAAAATCTTAATTGGGCATAATAATCTCATAACTATAACTAATAGGTTATGCTGATTTGGGAAGAACAATTTCGCAAAGTAGGTACCTATCACTTTTTTGTCCCTCTCCTGGAATGAATAAAAATTAAGTTTTTTCAAACTTTGCTCAAAGGCACAAACCATTAAATATTAAACTTCCTACAGGACAGGGATTGCTCAAAAAATGAATGTCCTCAACATACAAACAATAAGATGATAATAACTGCGAATTACTCAACTTTATATTTACTTAGGGAAACAACACATGTTATGTTTCGGAAGTTTATACACATCAGCCTGAAACATTTGCTTAGATCATCTCCGTTAATAGCACATATGCATAAAAACTAGAAAATGAAAATCGTTTTACCATGCTGTGCAATAACTAATAAACGATTTGCCTGCGTGGAGCGTGTTTCATTAATTCACCACACACACATGTTTATTTATTAAGAATGACCTAATAATAATCCATGTCACTATATAAATCGAAAGTCAAAGTTCAAATTTATTTAGGGTAAACTTTGAATTATTATCAAGCTAATATTGCAGTATTAATTTAAAAGGTTTTGGTTTCAGATACAAGGCAAGATGAAGTTCCTCGAAGTTGCTTGCCTCGTTATCTTGACGGTATTAGTTACCGACACTTTGGCTGAAAATAAACCAGTAAGTTGCAATAATGTCTCTATTAAAATCAGAACATTTTAATTTTATGATGTTTTTTAGAGAAAACATAAAAAATACAGGAGAATTCATCCAGTGGAAAAACCTACGGAACTAGCTGCTGAAAAAGATGACAAACCAATTGAAGTTTTACCCCCCATGGCTGCAGGAGTTGATATGATTGATAACAGAGTCCCATTAACAGGTAATAATTGATTAGTTTTTGGTTATAAGTATAAAACTTCGGATTCACTAATCGAAATAATGATATTCTGACATCTTCTACATCTACCATGTTATTTTAAAAGTCTCGGATATTTGTTAAGGAGTGATTATTTGTTCATTAGTAGCTATATGTTATATTTTGCTTAAAAACTAATTAAATTCCAGATCCATGCTTAGACGTACAATGTGGAGCAGGTATGGTGTGTGCTCTGGACAAAGATAGTGAACCTCAATGCGTTTGCATTGAAACTTGCCCAGAAGAAACTGAATCGCGTCGTAAGGTATTTCTTCAATATTTGATAATTTTCTGAGAAAATTCACTGACAATTTTGTTGTAGGTTTGCTCAAACACCAACGAAACCTGGTCCTCAGATTGTTCAGTGTACCAACAGAGATGCTGGTGCCGTAACGACGACTCGAGATGCAAAAATGATGAATACAGGCATGTCCATATTGAGTATTATGGAAGTTGTAGAGAAATGCCTGTAAGTAGTACCTACATAAGTTATTTTTTTTGTTGCAAAAACAATCAATCAATAGGAATGCAAAGAAAGCGAAATGGCCGATTTCCCAAGACGTATGCGCGATTGGCTCTTCAACGTTATGCGTGATTTGGCCGACAGACGTGAACTTTCCCCTCGCTACTACGAAATGGAAAAAGATGCCGAATCCAACATGACTAGACGATGGACCAACGCTGCCATGTGGAAATTCTGCGATTTGGACGGACATCCACCAGACAGATACGTTTCGCGTCATGAACTCTTTCCAATTCGGGCACCTTTAATGGCCTTAGAACATTGCATCGCTCCGTTTTTGAACTCTTGCGACAGTGATGACGATCACAGGATTACTATTAAGGAATGGGCAAGATGTTTGGAATTAGAAGAGGTGGGTACTTGCTAATTTTCTTTATTGTCTCTTGATAAGTACTAGAAGTAGGTACCTACTAGTCTGATAATTTTCTTTAGTTTTTCTTCATAAGTACTAGTAGGTACCTACTAGTCGCCTGGAAAACACAACATCCTTCCACTGCGAGGATCGAATATTTAAGATTTGGTCAGATAATTTTTTTCTGTAACTTTTCTTTCTGTCATGAGAGGAGGAATTGTAACTGCCTCAATATTCGCTTTATAATCCTTATTTTTTCCTTTCAACAGGATGACATAGAAGATAAATGTGACGAGTTAGCCGCAAGCGATGCCTCAACCCCAGAAGTCTAATCGTTGAAGCCATCAATTGAACAATTACCTACTAAGTAACAATGCAGAATAACATGGTGCTAATTTAATTCTAGTAATAATTATCGTTGGTATACCTACTTAAGTCTTTTAAGTGTCAAAAATTAAAGATCTAAGACATTTAATTATTGTTTTGTTGAAAATGGTAGTAGCTTTACATTTACTTATCACGTACTCTTAAGAATTGATACCTACTTAGTTTTAAGATTTTTTTGTAAATTTTTACATACTTACATACATACTGCCCTATATAGTTTTAAGTTGCTGTATAAAAATATATAGACAAGTAGCTCATAGAGTTTTGTAGTTAATTTCAAACCAACAAGCAATAGTCAGCAATATTTATTAATAATAATAATTATAAGTACATTCCTAGTTCCTAGGCCTGAAAGTTCTATTTTCAAATCTTATCGAAACATCTTGAACTCTCATGTTGGGCGTCAAAAACTGTTGCAAAGTTCCAACTCCATTCCTTGGCATTCTATCAAAGGGATAACCCATTGAACGACGATCTGGATATTTCTTGTCCTAAAATTCTGCTTAATCAAAAATCCAATATTAATTATTTTTTACCTTGATTCCACAATAAGAGTCAGCATCATTACATTGCCCACTGATATCCTCATTGATAACATCGTCAGCGTAGTTGGAAATCATTACGAAAAGCTGACACTGAAAACCTTCCGAAGTGCCTTTGGGTATCAGAAGATTTTGAGGCCAACCACAACCGCAGAAATTAAACTGAGCTAAATCGTTACCACCTGTAGGTCTATTGGTGTCCAAATCCCTGAAAGTCCTTTCAAATGGTATTGTAACCGACGAATCAGTTGAGCTTCGAGTAATAGTGTTTTGCCCTTGTTTCAATATAACTTTAAACTTGTCTAATTCAATAAACATATTCTTTTGGTCTCTAAACAGCCACGGATTGCCTTTTTCATCGAATTTCGGAGCTAGGAAGATGCGGCAAGTGCCTTGACGCGAACTGTTACTGGCCACCTTAGAAAAAAATCCCATTAATTTAACTTAAAAGCTGCTAATGATCATTCGAAATTTTGATTATTATCGGCTCTTGAGCTTTGAATGCTCTTAGAAAAATTCTGTAGCGAATCCAGGGTTGGTAAAAGTTCAAATTTTTACTATTACCGGCTCTTGATTGGCTCCTGGGAAGTTTTCCAGATAATCAAGAGCCGGTAATAGTTCAAATGTTGATTATCTGTGTCTCTGTGAATCTGCGGATGAAGAAATTTTGATTAATATCAACTTAAGACAAGAGCTGCTGATGATCATTCGAAATTTTGATTATTAGCAGCTCTTGAGCTCTGAATGCCCTTAAAAAATTCTCTAGTGAATCCAGAGTTGATAAAAGTTCAAAGTTTGACTATTTCCTGGCTTCTGAGAAGTTTTCCAGAGAATCATGAGCCGGTGATAGTTCAAATTTTGATTATGTGTGGCTCTTGATTCATTGGATTCTTTTTCTTGAACCAATTAGAAGATGCGGAAGAAGAAATTTTGATTAATATCAACTTAAGAGCTGCTAATGATCATTTGAAATTTTGATTATTATCGGCTCTTAAGCTTTGATAATAAGAAAAATGCTCTAGCGAATCCAGAGTTGACAAAAGTTCAAAGTTAGACTATTACCGGATCTTGATTGGCTTCTGGAAAGTTTTCCAGAGAATCAAGAGCCGGTAATAGTTGATTATTTGTGGCTCTTGATCCATTGGATTATTTTTCTTGAAGAAATTTGAAGATGCGGAAGAAGACATTTTGATTAATAGCAATTTAGGAATTGCTGATGATCATTCGAAATTTTGATTATTATCGGCTCTTGAGTCTTGACTGCCCTTAGAAGAATTCTCTAAGGAATCCAGAGTTGATAGAAGTTAAAATTTTGACTATTACCGGTCCTTGATTGGCTCTAGGAAGGTTTTCCAAAGAATCAAGGGCCGGTAATAGTTCAAATTTTGATAATCTGTGGTTCTTAATCCATTGGTTAATTATTTTTGGGCCAATTAGAAGCTGCGGAAGAAGAATTATTGAATCCAGAGTTGATAAAAGTTCAAAAGTTGACTATTGCCGGCTCTTGATTGGCTTCAGGCAAGTTTTCCAGAGATTCAAGAGCCGGTAATAGTTCAAATTTTGATCATCTATGGCTCTTTTATCCATTGGATAATGTTTTTTGAGCAACTGAATACCGGATATCCATATTGGATGTTGTGCTATGTCATTTTTATAAACAAATATATTTGTATTTAAAGCCCAGACCCAGACTCCTAAGCATCTGCTCATGAATATCGCCGCCACTGAATAATAATACATATTATGTATATAGGTAGGTACCTGGACTGTGTATGTGAAGTTCCTGTTTTGTAAATGCGTGAATCGTACAAACACAGATCCTCTCGGTTGAAAATCCATGCCTCTGGACAAATCAACATCAGATTGTTGCCAGAACGTCAGCAATTCATTAACTTGTTGTCCTTGAATTTGCACTTGAACATCGGTAACTGTAACTCCTGGATAATTCAGTTGGTCTACAGTGTATCTTGGAAGGCTATTCTTGTGCTCCTAAAAATCACACTGTTTTATAAGTTATAATAACAGGAATTATTTTTACTTGGAAAATATCGTCAATGTAGCCGTGCCATCTGTAAAACACCGGATCCCTCATAGCGGTAGATGTATCACCCATAATACCAAAAGACTCCAAGTGTCTTTGATCGGGATCGTGGATATAGCAAAGCAAAACATGACCGCTGTTGTGCAAGTCACCATAAAATGGCCTGTTTGGTGAAAACCGACTGGATTCTACCATATTTCCAAGAACATTGATACCTATATTGCAAATTTTATATACCTACTAACAAATTTCCAAATTCACAATTGTCACCTTCAAATTCAGTAAGTTGCATCCTATTTCCTCTAGCATCCACAATAAATCCAGAATGTATTGCGTCATAAATTCTATCAGCCCAACGTTTCAAATCATCAACATCAATAATTATTTCATCAGCGTCTCTTCTTACATCTGCAAGGGTTTGGTTGGCAACACGCGAAGGCCAAGGTCTGCTAGCTACAAGGCTGTTAAGTTTGGGAAAGTAACCTTCCTTGATTGGTTGTTTCCAGTCCAACAAACGTTGAGTTCTGTTCAGTTTATTGCAGAGTCTTTCAAAGTTGTACCGGGCCAGTACTTGTTGGTGCATGTAGTAGAATAATTCACCTCTTCTGTCTTTATCAACTATTTCTCTTGGTCCATCAATGGGGTAGACTAAGTGCCAGTGCCAGTGGTGAAGATTCAAACCTAAGTAAGAATGAACTAATTTTGTGTGTGTGTGTTTATGTAGAAATAGTTACCAATATCTTCTCTAAAATAAGCCAATCGATGTTCATCTTCAAGATCAGAAGCAGTATAATCTTTAGGAATTTCGATAGGGAGTCGGTCATCTTCAGGTACCACAACTGAATCTTCTCTTATATTAGCAAAAGCTCTACTATCGATGAATTTGTCTGGAAAAAACCGAAGCACAGATGGTAGGTCTAAGTTTTGGGTGTCTTCTCTGTGAAGAAGGGCTACTGAAAGGGCATAGTTGAAGAGGTAAGGGTTCACTCGGTCTCTAGCATACAGTGAGATTGAAAGAAGATCTTCAGGATTTCTAGAATGCAATAATTAGATTGTGTTGGTGTGGTTGAAAGGTACTTACTTGGCTTTAATGAATATTTCTAATAGTTTTCCTGCTAAATTGCGATGTTTGGCCAAGAAAAGGGAAAAGTTGTCGTCTCGTTTCAGTTCCAAAATTTCTCCAAGTTGTGGAGTTGCTACTGCTTTTACTTTTATGAATTCTTTTCCATCGTCTCCAAATCGATTCACCTTTTTTTTTTTTCAAATATAAATTATTGTATATTTATTAAATTAGAATCTTACCACACTACTTCCAAAGGGTCTATATTTGTCAGTCAAATAATGAGGAGGCACACCAAAAACCGTTTGTTTGGGGCCTTTTGGAATAAATATCGGTTCTTTGGGGCGGTCGAACAGGAGCAAGAGGTCGCGATTATTGAAAGACATCTTACTGAAATAACAATCTTGTGATTGTTTGATTGAGTTTTTATATACAGACGATGCAACCACAAATTTCGTGCAAAATATAAGATAATTTTTGTTGTGTCTGCGGTGCAATTTATTTTGGAAAGTGGTTATAAGATGAGAAAATCATATTTAGAGATATTAGAGGGAGCATTGCCATGACATTTTAAAATCTTGGAAAATCAGCCTTCAAAGATTTTGGAATAACGGTAATATAGATTCAAACTCGGGTAATTTAGATCAATGTTGAAGGTTGCTTTATTTCAAAAACTGATAAATTTTCCTTGTTTTTACAATGTTTTCATAATACTCCAGGAATCCAGGAACTGATTTAAATTCGAAACAACAAAAGTCTGATTTAAATACCAAATTACCTATTTTTTTATTTCGAAAAGACAGAGAAAACAGTAAAGGGGGTGGAGTTATAATTTATGTACCTACGTGAAAGCATTGCAGGTGTCAAACCCACAGTAGCATTGAACCGGAGATTTCAACCGCCTGATGGTATTCATGCGATTTTATTGAATATCACACGATCACACTTACAACACTTAAGCTCTCTTCAGCATGAATATACAGACCACAAGACATACCCATAGAAACAGAGAACTTTTGGAGTACCTTAAACAAGTGTTGAAATTCTCGACCAATACTATAGTGTTCGGAGACTTCGATTATAGACAAATAGACTGGAAAATTCTGTCACTAAACCAACAAAATCAGCCAGCACAAAAATTCCCAAATTTTTAAGTAGAGAACAATGCTAAATAGATGATAAATATCAAAACCAGAATTAGAAACGATCAACAATCACTTCTGGATTTATTACTGGTAAGCGGTAGGAAACTATTTACACAAACTTACCCTTCAAATCCAAGTTCAACGAAGAAAATCAGGAAACGTAATTTCTAGAAGGTCAATTGCGACAATATAAACCAAGAAATAACTGAAACGAAGTTTCCAAACAATATGTGTAGCAAATATAAACGCCATCATTCAATAAAGTATTCGCATGCGAAATACTCTAATAAATCTTCAAAAACCGTTGATAAACCCTCACCACTTCAAAGAAATTCAAAAGAAGCGGAACCTCTGGAACAAGTACCAAAACCTCAAAACTCCCCAGTCTCACCAGGATACGGATTCTAATTACTCGAAGTCGAAGGATGCGACTAGGAAATAACGTTGAAGTTCCATATACGAAACGCTCGACTCGTGTCGACTAGTGAAATTGTAACCTGGCAGCAGGAATATAGAACTTGACATAACCTACTGAGAAATATGCTGCAACAAGCAAAGCAACAATATGAACACGATTTGCTCAAAAGATCTGATAAACAATTCTATTCCTACATTAAAAGAACACTCAATTCAAACTCAACATCTATTTTTCTAAAAGGCCAGGATACTGGAGATATAATTGGAAATTTGAAGCAGACTTCAGAAACCTTGACGAATCAATTTGAGAAAGTCTTCACCAGAGAAACAGTGCAAAATTTCCCAAGACTAAGAAGTGAACGTTTATTTGCCCAAATAACATCAGTCGAATTTACGCCAGAAGAGATTTGCAAAGTTTTAAAAAATCCTGAAATAAATCCTGACAACATTCCAGCCATATTTTTGAATAAAACAGCAGCCAATATAAGTGAACCACTTTCATGAGCAATGGACAATCTTATGGAGAATGGAAGAGTGCTAAACGAGTGGACCAAGCCCATCTATAAGAAGGGAGAAAAACATAACCCTGGAAATTATCGTCTCATAAGTTTAACATGCACTTTATGTAAGGCAGTGGAGTGGGTTGTGGCCGATAAAATCAAGGATTTTGTTCTGAAAAATGACGTTATTCCTGCAGACCAACATGGATTTCTCCCAGGACGATTCACCTCCACAAACCTGCTTTCGTGTTTAAACAAGTGGACAAAAGAAGTGGATAGTGGAGAGGCTGTTGATGTTGTTTATCTTGACTTTGAGAAGGCGTTCAATAGGGTTCCAATCCAAGGACTTTTATACAAGCTTGACCACCTTGGTGTAACTGCGATAGATCTCCAGTTACTTGCAAGGCAGAACGTTCACAGTGAGAGCAGGGGAGTAATCTGAGTAGCGCGAAGCATTGAGTGGGGTGCCCCAGGGCTCTGTCTTGGTCCCTTTATTCTTCATTATTTACATCAGTGACATAGGAAGTGGCCTTCAGTCTGGTATAACGTATTTTGCTGACGATACAAATCTTCACTGCAATCCAACCAAGAAACCTTCTCCCAGCGGCCACCATATATCAGATTAGAGAAAGTGTTAGAAACCTACTAAAGAGCAGACCGCTTATCCAGAACTCCAAACCCAGAAACGCAACCTCTCCAAAAACAGCGCAACCAGCATAGGGGAGAAGAATCAGCCAGAACATTGACAACCTTAGAAAGGATATTGGTAGAGTCCAGCAAATGGCCGATGGTATGACAGGCAAAAGCATAAAAAAGAATCAACCAGCTGAACTCACTAAGCGGCAAGATGGCAAAACAATACAGGACATTTAAACAAAATCGGGCAGCACTTTCGAAAAAACTGCGAAGATATCGAAAAAGTTATCAGAGGAAAGTGCAGAACAACCAATTTACAAATAGCGAAAGGCAATTTTACAGATCATTAGACAAGAAACTAGAGGTTAAAGAGGCACCTGGAATAGAGGAAGTAACAAACTTCTGGAAAGGAATCTGGTCGAACAAAATAAGCCACAACGAAAACGCATTTTGGATACTCACACAAGAGCAGAGGGCACTAGCAAACAGAAGGCTCCAGATAAGGATGGAATCTAGAACTTCTGGGTTCAAAAGATTTACTTCCGTTCACGAATGCATGGCATGCCAGTCCAACAAGATAATAAAGAAACCAGAACAACTCCCTAGTTTCCTTGTAAGTGGAGTCACTTACCTTCTCCCTAAGTCCGACAATACCAAAGATCCCTCACAATATAGACCGATCATGTGCCTTCCCACCAAGATTCTTTCGGCTGCAATATGTCGGACAGTCGACGAATACCTGGAACGGCAGGCCATCCTTACCGAAGACCAGAAAGGTTGACGCTGAAAAACATTAGGCTCTAAAGAGCAAATAATCATCGATGCTGTGATTCTCGGACAAGCCAGACAGAAGCAAAGAAACGTGTAGACTATCAGAAGGCTTTCGACTCAATACTGCATAGCTCGCTTCTGAAGGCTCTAGAGCTTTACAACATTGATCCCACCATCATAAACTTCCTTCGGTACACCATGACAAAATGGAACACCTCACTTAGCATCAGAGCCCAAGAAACAAACATCGAATCAGAACAAATCAACAAGCAAGGTATATTTCAGGGGGATTCACTGTCTGCTTTGTGGTTCTGTCTGGCTCTGAACCCAATATCCGGAACGCTAAGTCAAACAGGCTATGGCTGCGCCCTAAAACACGGAAGAAGCTCGAAAGTTATCAGCCATCTTCTCTTCATGGATGACTTAAAAATATATACCGCCAACAAAAAGCAACTTGATACTATTGTCACAACTGTCCACTTGGGGGTTTGTAGCTTTGGGGGTCGATGGAGAGAAACTCGCTCAAGTTGTATAAAAGTGTAGATATATATTTTCTCAAATATGCACTTACATATACGCTAGTCCTATAGGATGCATGACCCTTCGAACACTGGGGTCCTTATAGGCAGCCACACGTCAACGCTGCTTGGGGGAATGTCGATTAGTTATCGACACCCTTATGCCTTGTCCAGAGGAGCTTTCCCAACGAGAGGTAATTGCGCTGAACAACGATAAGGCTGAAGATACCCAGAGGAGCTTTCCCAACGAGAGGTACTTGCACTGGGGACACTTAATTCCAGAGGAGCTTTCCCAACGAGAGGTAGTTGCACTGGTTTAAGTCTGCCTTTGCTGTGGCTTGCAGCGCAATTTATATCCGTTTATTGCTTGTCTCATCATAATTAACCAGGTTAATTATAACCTGTGTTTTGTCGATTCGTAGAAATCATGTACAGTGTGTTATTTTCCCAAGCAGGCTCGGTGTTGACACTATCTTAAACTGAACCACCAAATGAGCTCTGATTGGCATGAAAAAGTATCAGACAGTAATCGTGGAGAAAGGCAGACTGATTCAAGGGCCTGATATCCAACTAGACACGTCCACAGTGGTGACATCGATGAACCAGGACCCATACAAATATCTCGGAATCCTGCAAGACAAATACCAGAATCAAGCAATTCCAGTCTCGATTGAGAAAGCTTCCTGAAAGCAAACTCAGCTCCAAAAACTTGACCAAGGCAGCCACGCCCTTACCATTGTGCAATACTTATTTGGTGTTGTGAAATGGACGCAAACTGACTTAGATCTAATTAACCGAATGGTTATAGGATCCAAATTTAGAAATGAAGAGGATCAATATACCAAGAGAAGATGGGGGACGTGCCTGCAAACAACAGATACGATCCTTGATAGTGTATTTCAGAGGGAAAGACAAAGACATTTATAAAGCTATAGTCAGAGAGGACAACAATTACACACCACTCAATCTGAACGCCGAGAACCACAATCAGCTAATGGAAAGACCAAGAGACCAGCTTCTTAGAGAATGGGGATCAAAAGCTCTCCATGGTCGTTTTTACAACGAGCTACGGCGTGATTCGGTGAACCAGCGAGCATCAGTTCAGTGGTTGGTAGACAGAAGTTTATTCCCTGAAACCGAAGGTTTCATTATAGGTATATAGGACCAGGAAACACATCATCAAGGAAAACATACAAAACGAAAAATGACGGAAATGCAAAGCGGAACCTGAAACGATATCCTTTCTGGGTGCCAGATACTGGCAGGAACAAAATACATATAAAGGCATGATCGAGTAGCTACTATAGTTTACTAGGAACCATTTGAAAATTTATTCGTTTGAGATTGACAATAACACGAAATATTATCAGTACAAACCAGAACCAGTGATAGAAAACAC